GAACGTGGGGACATGATCAAGGTTTTGAAAACTCTTTCAGGCTACTATAGCCCATTGTTTGAGGTCTCATTATTCCATCTCAATGAAAGAAGGGAATTGCGGGGACATTAAAAAAAAATAAACAAGGAAAAGAGCCACCTGCTGATCAGAAAAAACTTTATAACAAATTAGGTGGTATATAAGTGGAATCGCTTGAGGAAGAAACAGTGACAGCTCCAAGTGTGAACACATTCAAGATTAGACTAGACAAGCTGCAGTCATTAAACAATCAATTTATTCATTACATTTAACAGTTTATCACGCGCAATATCCTTTTGATAGTTAGCTATGAACATTAAAACAACCATAATTAAAAATAGATCAATAACACATCGGTTTACCCGCTTTCATCTGAATTGCATTCGTCAGAAATCGGACAAAAAAGTGCGAATAATTCCATTTCAGTAAAACCCAATGACGGTCGTACATTGTACCCGAATTCAGATGAAAACATGCGATTGCGATTGATCCAAAAAAAAAAATGGAATTTTTCGCCATAGTTCTGACGATTTGTGTGTGTTGACTGGGTAACTGAGGAGATATGGATATCGAAAAACTAATCAATTTGATATGGAAAAAAAAAAATTGTGGGGTAAGACCGTCAAATTATATAACATGAGAGACATGCGGAGAAAATTAATCCTTCTTCGAATCATCATATAAATGATGGAATTCTCCGAATTATTTTCGTTTTGCTAAAATATCATTAACCCAGCACTTTTTCTTTTCCAATAATCGCCGTCTAACAAGATAATTATGTTTTCCAAAAGATGATCCTCCATATAACTCCACTAGGTAAAGACTGTGCGAAGTCTGCAAAAACTGGGGTCGTATTTTCGAATTTATTCGAGTACATTTCGTACACGAAATTTGATTCACAGCAATGTAAATTAAATGGGGAGCATTCGAAATCGTATCAAATTTCGTATGCGAGAATATTCGAAAATACGACCCCTGGTCCAGTGGACGATATGATGTATGCGTAAATCTGAAATCGTCCTATTTCTGATGGTTGCAATTCGGACGAAAACACATCCAAAGGAAGACCGGCCTTATTGCTTAAATATAATAATAATAATAATAATAATAATAATTAATAATAAAAACCCCTAATCAATTTAGCAGCCCCTAAAGATGTTGCTTCTCTCAGAAAAGTACAAGGTATGTTCGCACACTACTTAAAGTTTATATACAAATTTTCTGAAAAGATACATACCATTGTAAACATGAAAAGTTTCCCCATGAACAAAGAACACATTCAAGCATTCGAAAGGCTGAAACAAAATATTATTGATGCTGTTGTAACGTTCGTCGATGAAAAAGTTCCATTTACAATGGAAACAGATGCTTCTGATTTTGCTAGTGGTGCTCAACTGATACAAAATAGTAAACCAGTTGCATTTTTCTAAAGAAGCTTAACAAAAATAGAACAAAATCATTCCATTATAGAGAAAGAAACATACGCAATAATAGAAGCTATAAGAAACTGGAGGCATTATCTAATGGGACAACATTTTGGTATAATCACTGATCAAAAATCCGTTGCATTTATGTTTGTCAATAAGAGTTTACAAAAATCAAGAATGAGAAAATATTGTATTGGAAAATATAATTATCATGCTACAAATTTGATATCATATACAGGTCAGGAAATCAAAACATTGTAGCTGACACACTTTCCAGGATATCAGCTGCTATTCAACCATCGACACCAGAGAAAAATTTGTATAAAGTACACAACACAATGGGTCATCATGGTGTCACAAGATTCTATCATTGGATTAGAAGCAAAAATTTACTTTATCACTAGAAGACATAGCATTCTGGGGTGCGTAGTTGATGGCCTGTTTCAGTCCGTCTTCCGCTTCCAGAAAAGAGCTATCAGATCAATGTTTCAGCTAAGATGGAATGATTCTTGCAGGCCTTATTTCAGGGACTACAGAGTGTTTACCCTAACATCTCTGTATATATTGGAATCAGTTTGTTTGATATTCAAAAATAGATATGGGGATAACTACAATTTCCAGCATAACTATAGAACTAGACAGACACAGGTTGTCCATCTTCCGATACCCTCTTCAATAATTAATATATGAAAGCCGTAAAATATTCAATAATCTACCTTTACAATTGAAAGAACTTGATAATTTTAATGCCTTCCGACAAAAAGGCGAAAGACTATCTTTTGGAGAATTGTTTTTACACTTTAGAAGAGTTTTACGCAGCTAGTTGAATGTCGATTGTTAGTGTATATGTAATGATGTTGATGTTTTATTTTATTTTATTTGATTTTATTTTATCTTATTTTGTTGATAGTTGTATTTTTGTGTATTTATATTTAATTTTTAATTTTACATACCTTATGAATGCGACTCACATACAGGGTGTCCCACGATGGATGGCGTATTAGACGTTTATGGAGAACTAAAAAGCGGCTGATTTTGAAAATTTGGCAACCGGGATAAATGATCATGATCTACACTTTAAAAATATTTTTGACCATGCGGTGTTGCCGCTTCTACTCTAAACTAGTGGCAACATCGCTATTTTAAATGGAACACCCTGTATGTGATTGCATATTTGAATTCTACATAAAATTTTGAGCAGATTTCATGTGATATACCCTATACCTAAGTTCAACTGTTTTGGAAATATTGACAGTTGAAAATTGACTGTTTGCAACTTTGACAGGCTGTAAAACCTGAACGGTTAATTTTAGAGGAAAACCGATTTTACATTCCTATCTTAGATTTTTATAAACTATCATTTGACACCAACTTTGAACTTAACCGGAGATTAAATTTAACTGGAATTTTTAATCATGGATTTAAGTAATTCGAAGTTGGTGTCAAATGAAAATTTATAAAAATCTAAGATAGGAATGTAAAATCGGTTTTCCTCTAAAATTAACCGTTCAGGTTTTACAGCCTGTCAAAGTTGCAAAAAGTCAATTTTCAACTGTCAATATTTTCAAAACAGTTGAACTTAGGTATAGGGTATATCACATGAAATCTGCTCAGAATTTTACGTAGAATTCAAATATGCAATCACATACAGGGTGTTCCATTTAAAATAGCGATGTTGCCACTAGTTTAGAGTAGAAGCGGCAACACCGCACGGCCAAAAATATTTTTAAAGTGTAGATCATGGTCGTTTATCCCGGTTGCCAAATTTTCAAAATCATCCGCTTTTTAGTTCTCCATAAACGTCTAATACGCCATCCACCGTGGCACACCCTGTATAGTGTAAATTAGTAATACTTTACTTTTAATTTAATTTAATTTTATTTGATTATGTAGATATAAGACTGCTTTGTCAATAAGATTTCCATCTTTGATAATAAAGCTTTCTGATTCTGATTCTGATCAAAAGAGTTAAAGTCTGTTGCATGGTTCTTGACCTACGGCTACTGAATAGACAGGAGGGACAATGGGCTATTGCTGCGTTGTCAGTTGTCATATCGATAATATTTATTAATACATGAAAATTGCAATAAAATTTCCTTCATTTTCATGTAATAATAAATATTATTATTGATATGACAACGCAGCACTAGCCCATTGTTCTTTCTGTCAATTCAGTAGTTGTAGCTCAAGAACCATGCAACGGACAATATATCCGCATGTCCGGTTTGTGCAGAGATAAAGCCAAGATTCTATAAGAAGGAAGGAGCTCTCATCATTTGAGAAATTAAATATTGACTTTAAGGGACCATTGCCTTCCAACAATCACAACAAATATTTATTACCTAGACATTGTAGATGAAAACTCAAGATTTCCGTTCCCATGTTCAGATATGTCATCTGCAACAGTAATAAATTGCTTGACTCAACTATACTCAATGTTTGGCACACCAGGTTATATTCACAGTGATAGAGGAACATCTTTTCTATTTGTTGATGTGGAATCATTTTCAACAAGTCATGGTGTTGCCACAAGTCGTACAACTGGGTACATTCCAGCGAGAAATGGACAATGTGGAAAATTTAATGGAACGATTTGGAAGACTATTCAACTTGGGATTAAATCTAGAAACATCAACGTAAAACAATGACAAGATGTATTTATTAGATTCTCTACATTCAATAAGATCTCTTTTGTGTTGCAACTAATTCTACACCTCATGGACACATGTTCAACCATCCTAAAAGATCGCCTAATGAAACCTCAATGCCTACATGGTTGAGCACCCCAGTGTCAAGAAACATGTTAGACATAGCAAATATGATCCAAAAAATTGATCTACTGGGAGCAAGATTGTGCTCATGTACGCCTATCAACTGGAAGAGAAATAACTGTATCACCTCGTCATTTAGCACCAAGGGGTGATGTAACACTGCCAGCTTGGACAGATCAAGATCAAAATGATGTGACACTCGAGGTGACACTACCAGAACAAGATCAAAATTAACTATTCCTAAAGAAAACCATACACCAGTCAGTTCAGAACGTTTATCATCTTCGTTCCCTATAAATAATTCTAATCGTTCCCTTCCCCAAAATTCTGAACAATCTCACAATGAAAATCCTCCAGCTTTATCTACAGTGAAACCTACTGATGAATCCAGTCATGTTATGGTAAAGAGAAATCATAGGCCACCTTCATATCTTCAAGATTATGTCAGAAACTGAGCAAGGAAGAATGTTGTATATCAGTCTCGATATCAGTATAATATATATATAATATATCTCATTACCTTATTTAGTGTGTTTCCTATTTATCTACCTGTTATGTTGTCAGTTATTGTCAGAATAATATGTACTCAATTTTAGCTTATTAGCCTTAAATCTAAAGGTCTTTTACCTTAGAAAATCAGTCTTTTACTACAATTGTCACAATGTAATTTGTAGGATTTGAGTGGAGGATATCTAAAGTTTCAAGCTAAGTACAGTGAGGAATGGGGTATGAATACATGGTTATTTCTTAGGGTCAAGTGAAAAAATATCCTAATAGAACAAACCTTTATCAGTTTTCCAGTAGGGGGTAAAAGTAAGAAGCCCCTATACACAGGTTCGTCAGTCTCCATTGTGGCACCCAAATAACAATTTAAAGTCATAGTCATGCTGCGGAGCACCACATCCTTCCTCAAACATTAATTTTTTATCAGCGTAATTTATTTGTAGCCACAAATTTGGTATCATAATAAATATTTTTATCAGAATAGAACAAAAGACCACACATTTAACTTTTTTTTTTTGATTTTTGACAGTTTTGACTTATATCAGAACAATCCTAATAACTGACTAATGATATTCTCATCTCTCTCACATTGTATGAGAGCAAAAGAGAAAAATATAACGAAAACATTAGAAAATGAGAGAAAAGTAAAAGCACATCATAACCTATGTTTCAGCCCCAAGAATCCCAAGATTTATAAACATTCCAAATCCCTTATTTCTCTTCTAAAAATATGAAAACTGTTTTCGTTACCGTTGGCACAACAAAATTCCCAAAATTAGTGGACACAATAACAACCTTAGACGTCATAAAAACCCTCAAAAATCTAGGATACGACAACGTCCAAATCCAAACTGGCAAAGATTTCCACAAACCCAACATAGATCCTCTTTTAAAAAACGTCACCGTAAACCTGCAAGAGCAATCTTGGGCAGTCAAACTCCTAGATTTCGATGTAACTATCAATTACAATACATATTTTGATAATTTTGAAGAACAAATTCGTAAAGCCGATTTGGTAATAAGCCATGCAGGCGCTGGATCTTGTTTAGATGTTTTAAGGCTCAAAAAACCTTTGATTGTTGTTACAAATGAAGACCTTATGGACAATCACCAAACAGAACTTGCAGAACAACTACAAAAAGACAAACATCTATTTTTCTGTAACTGCAATACATTAGTTGATACTTTACACAAAGACTTCATTAACTTAGTTCCACATCCTCAACCTGACAAAAATTTATTTTCAAATTATTTAGATAAATGTTGTGGGTTTGTACAATAAACAAATCAAGTAACAAACAATTTTTTTTTTTTTATTTATACAAATTACTCTAAATAAATTTACACAAGTTTCTTTGCTTCAAAGAACCTTTTGAGATGTCTCATTTGCCAAGCACCCATAGCAATCAGTACCGCAGTTTGAGTAACAGACCACCACAAAACTCTCGAGTTTGTACTTTCACTGGTCTGCCTGAATCTATTTTCACGATATCTCTGGTAATTTTGTTCTTTAGTTATTTGCTCGACTTGATCAAGCAACTGTCTAATTCTGAGTTGCAATTCAGATAATTTTTCCTTTTGGACAACTTCCCCATAGTTAATAGCGTGCTCTCCAACTTGTATATCTAAATGCACTCTGAGTTGTGAGCCGCCAAACCAGGCAGAACTGTTGGAGTACATACAAATTACATGTTCACCAGGGGTGTGGGAGGTGAATGAGATTTTGCCCTCAGAAGAGTATACTCTGGAAAGGATGGTTTTATCATCCGGATCACGAATGTCGACGTGCATTCCAATGCCTGGAGAGGAAGGCATAAAACCGCCTGTTCTTGGATCATAGAGCTGGACTTTGTAGTTTACTAAAAATTAATCATAGTGGAGGTGTTGATATTATTGTAACAAGGTAATTACCGATAACATTTGTTTCATCTGGGATTTCTTCTATGAAACATTTCCTTTCTGTTTCGGCTATGTGGAAATACAAGGCTGAAGCAATATCTACTAAAACAAACAGGCCTATGAGGTGGATACAGGTGGTGCGTAACATAGTTTGAGCTTTTTATTTGACTATTTTGGGAAATTAGGTTTTTTTTTTTAAATAGAAAGTTGAACTAAACTAGACTAGATGAGATGGATAATGGACTATTTCCAAATATTTCAATTTTTTTTCGAAAATAACACATCAGCAACTGTCAGCTGTCAGTCAGTGTCAAATTTGAACATTATGTTGACGTCAGCTGAAAATTAAATTTTATAGCGTTTTCGACTTTTGCTTCAAAACTGCACCCAATTGATGAGAAACGCCAACCAAAAACGGATTCACATGGTCAGCTTGAAACGGAGCATTGTTCTCAGCGAGATTCTCGTGTTAGACTTGAGCAATAGAACGCTCTCAAATCTCGCACGAAGCGCAATTTCTTGCTCCGTCAAATTCGATAGATCAAAGAATTCAAAACAATCCGTTCGTTCGGTATTTTGATCTGAGTTTTCCTCGAATTTACCCTTCGTTTATTCAAAAAGTGTACTCGGTGCAGATTCATTCACGCTAATCAAGCGATTACGGGATTACGGCTCCGCTTCAGCACGCTCTGCCCTTTGAGCAAAATACCTAACGCAAACAATGTACGTTCGGCTATTAATTTCAACTGGTGTACCTACGTTTGGATTATAATCACTTTCGGAGCACTCCGATCATTGACATCACCGCCTAGATTGGGAGCACTCTAGGAGCAGTAACGCAGAAAATGTTATAAAATTTTCCTGCACTAAAATGGCGTATTGGATTTACCTGCACTCGCACTGAATAGCACCACAATTCCGAATCGTATTTTAAATGTATTTGCGCTGTAAGAGTGCGTGCATAAAAGCGATTCCATTCCGACCCTAGCGTGAACTTTGATCAGACCGCGTGCCAATCTCTTCTTTGACATTTTCACCCTGAATCATGTCTTCTTTTCCCATCGGTTTCCAAAAACTGAATCAGCAAAACTGAAAATCGAACAGACAATATTGCACTCACTGAGGTAGATTTCATTGCACTTTAAAAATGTGAACTGAGTGCGAACTAGTGCAGCTAGTCGATAACTTATATAAGCCGCTTTCCAGCTGTGTGCTTCAAGCACGGTGCAGCACAGTGTTCTGTGTTTGAAACGCAAAAGTTAGCAGTTCCCGAAGCGCAGTGCTGGAACACGGACACGCGCTTGAAGCATATGAGCGCACAAAAGCACGATTACGTGCTCAAAATGGTCAGCTGGAAAGCGGCTAAAGTGTTTTCGGTTTTACTGCACTTAAAACGGTCCCCGTCTTGCAGGTCGGTGACGTCGTCGATTTCTGCGGGAATACTTCGAGGGCGATTATAATCCAAACGAGGGCACCCCATATTTGAAATCAGTAGCCGGAGTGTACTTTTGCTATGACTTTTGTATGGTTCTTACTCAAAATTTCACAGCCTATTAATCTCAAAACACTTAAATTCGACTTACATTCATTTACTTGTCTGTTGGGTGAACCGAAAATTAATTGAAAATACATTACTAGAATGAAAATAGGAAGAGAGGAGGAGTGGTCAGCACTCAGCGTGACACTAGTTCTCTTTGTTCCAACACAGCAGAGCTGCTTTCTTTTCACAGGCTTGGGTGCCCCAGGTCGCCCAGGATCACGATTTTGAAATATAAACAACCGTTCTTTCACCTCAATGGTTTTTTCTTATGGGTCGTTTGTCTATCCCAATTATATTTCACTACAATAATTACCGTTCTTTTCAGAACGTGCGCTGACGCGCCTCACGGCATCGAAACCTGGGGTTTCAGAGCTCTGAAAAGAAAGCACCTCAGAAACCGTACCGGCAATTTTTGACGAGGATAGTCAAGCATAATCTAGCCGCTTTCCATTGACGAATTTTAAGGTGCTCCATACACCCGTAGCTTCACACTCTGATGCTCCAAACAACTGTTGTGTCACTGGAACGCGGCCTGCTTTGAGCGTCGTGTTTTTGAAGCACCCATAAAATTGCAGGTGCTTGAGAGGGCCGGGGAGAGAAAAAACGAACAGTATAAACAGTCCGGGGCGCTCTAGAGCAGCTCAGGAGTGTTTGAACCGCGTGTTGCTTTCACCAAAATGGTGCACCGCCACAATTTCCGCTACGGATACGGTGATTAAAATTCACTAGCCAATGCCAAACCACAACTTGTCAAACCCTGTTCAATTTAACAACACTGCTTGTTCTACTATTCTACCACGGTGCCTACAACAGCTGAATTCAGCCACACGCGGAAAGTGCGTCACTGGAAAGCGACTCTGACTATGCTGGATTATGTGATGTGTCAATTGTATCATACTCCCCTAACTCCCTCTCCATCAAATTCTGGCCCTGCAAGTGACGTCACTATCAACAGCTGATGACGTCGTCCGCAAACCTTGATGGAATGCTTGCCATTCAGGCTGTGCTAGTGAGTTAATTTTTTCGTCGATTTTAAATGTAGAAAAGGTGATTTTCAGTCTGTTCTCACAGAAGAAATTAAGGGTTCTTGATCCTCGATTATCCTAGAATTTGATGGTGGGGGATTAGGGCAGTATGACACAATTGACACATCACATAATCCAGAAGTTTATGCTTGATGATCCTCGCGAAAAATTGCCTAAAGTACCGTCCAATGACGCACTGTCACGATTCTGCGCAAATCCTAACTGCACCCGATTAAAGACCGATCCGAAACGGTGCCGCATGTTCGGTTTGAAACGGTGCGTTGCTCTCGGCGAGATTCACTTGTTCGATAGCAATAGAACGCTCTGAAATCTCGTACAGAGCGCTTTTTCTTGCTCCATCAAATTCGATGGATCAAAAGAGTTTGATCAAATCAAATTAAGTTCGGTTACTATTGATTTCAAGTAGTGAGCCCTATTTTGGATTATAATCGCTCTCGGAGCACTCTGGCAGAAATCCGTGACGTCACCGACCAAACGGGAAGCGCTCTGGGACTTCTGAGAGTAGTAAATCCGAAAATGTTATGAAATTTTTCTGCACTAAAATAAAATGGCGTATTTGATTCACCTGCACTCGCTCTGAGTAGCACCGCAATTAGAGCGATTCCGTTCCGACCCCAGCCAGCGTAAATTTTGATCAGCCGAGTGCCAATCTCTCATTTCAAATTTTCGCTCTGAATCACATCTGCGTTTCCATCGGTTTCCTTAACTGAATCTGCCACACCGACAATATTGCACTCATCAATAGACTGCACTGCACTTTCAAAATGTGTGCTGAGTGCACACTAGTGCAGCTAGTCGATAACATGTGAATCCGTTTTGGATTGATTTTTGATCAATCGGGACAAATTTCAGAAATAATTTCGAGCTTTTTGTAGAAATAGTTTTATAATACCCGCCCCAAGTAATCGTGTTTTTAGCATGATTTCCAAGGCCATTTAGTTAGTAGTTAGTGTATACAATAGAGTTCCAAATAATGCACCGGTGCTGCACGACCTCAAGAATCAAGTGCAAACTTGAGTGTACTCCGAGTTAAAACAGCTCCAAAATTTTAATAGACACGTGATGGTTGAAAAATATTGCACTCGTGCAGCAACACTTTAGCTTAATGAAACTAGCAACTGGTTTTTGACTACGCATGGCTGTCGTATACGAATTGCACCTTTTTGCTGGAACTGTTCAGCATGTAAAACGCATTTTACTCCAACAGATCCGAATATTAACCAATTTTTTTTTTGGCTTTACTGCTCCCCGTCTAAACAATGACGTCACAGATATCTGTGGGAGTGCTCCGAGAGTGATTATAATCCAATAGTGGGCACACTATTTGAAATCAATAGCCGAACATATTTTTGTATCGATCAAACTCTTCGATCCATCGAATTTAACGGAGCAAGAAAGAGCGCTTCGTGCGAGATTCGAGAAGAACGCTCCGCTTTAAGCCGAATAAGTGAATCCATTTCGGATCGTTTTAAGATCAATCGGGTGCGTTCCGAGGCAAAAGTCGAAAGCGCTATTATGTTTAAAATGTCAAGTGTCACCTATCAAAATTCAAAAATTTCCAAATGTTTTTGACCGCAGCGCCCTCTTTTTCGTGATTCTTTTAGCAGAGACACATTCAGGTACTTTGTTTTTACTTATTTTGCTAATTTTTACAAAAAACCCAAAAATATCCACCACAAGATTCGTTGCAAATAATTCCTAAAACCATAATTTATCCCTAAAATCCGATTTGGCTGATTTTTTTAGTGGCAATACTCGGATGATCGCGGATGAAAATTATTTGTTGACATTTTGACACTATTTATCAAATTTGAAATTTTCCCAATTTTAGGCTAAACCATGGCTCCTAGGAAAGGAAAAGTCCAAAAGGAAGAAGTCCAAGTGTCTTTGGGACCCCAAGTACGTGAAGGCGAAATAGTTTTTGGTGTCGCTCACATCTTTGCCAGTTTCAATGACACATTCGTACATGTTACCGATTTGTCTGGAAGAGAAACCATTTCCAGAGTCACTGGAGGCATGAAAGTAAAAGCCGATCGTGACGAAGCTTCTCCCTATGCTGCTATGTTAGCTGCCCAAGTAAGTAACTTTTGTATATCTGTATATCTTGAAATTCTGCACTTTGTTCATTACTAGGGTCTGATTTGGGCTAACAAGAACAAATTGACTTAAAATTAAAATAACCCCTTTATCTAAGACTTATCTGTAATAATTCCTCAATTTATGTTGTTTTAGGATGTAGCTGAAAAATGCAAAACTCTTGGAATCACAGCTCTTCACATTAAATTGAGAGCAACTGGTGGAAACAAGACCAAAACTCCAGGACCCGGAGCCCAGAGCGCTCTCAGGGCTTTGGCTCGTTCCAACATGAAAATTGGCCGTATTGAAGACGTTACTCCAATTCCATCTGACTCCACTCGCAGGAAGGGAGGTCGCCGTGGTCGCAGATTGTAAATCTATCTTGAGACTATTTACGTTTTTATTTAAGTAATAAAAGTTTTTGACAACATAAACGAGAATGTGTTTTGGTATTTCAATTTAGCTATAATTTGAGCTGTAAGAACTACAATTTGTGATTTCCTCTCGATTATGACGAGTGATGTTTTCAAGCATACTGATGACGTCATTCCGGCGATGCTCCCTGATTGGTTGAAAGTTACATCTTGACAGGTTCCTTGTTGCGCCAAATTTTTTGAATTTTGATCATAACCTCACTAAATTTAACTTTGATTTATTTACTTGTGATATCTAAAGTATTAATTCATAATATCCTTGTGTAAAATCCGAAATATATCGTGAAAAAAGTAGTACTTTAAGTTTTAATGACGATTCATGTGCAAAACTAAACTGCAGCTTCCCAGTGACAAAAATCTAGAAAACAAAATTGTATGGTTCTTTAGTACACAAACCATGGGTAACATAAATCCAATTATTTTAATATACATTATTTCCTTTATGGTATGTACTAATTTTATAATTAAATAAATAAAATAAAGAATGATTTTTCAGGATTTATTTGCAATTGCATTATCGTTTCCACTGCTGGCCCCTCATTTGCAAGATCTGGGAGCTTCACACACTTTTATAGGGGCTGTAGTGTCCATTTATTCTGGTATTCAAGTCGTATCTGGACCGATAATTGTAAGTTTATCATTTTTATTCTACATCTACAAAGTAACAAGAAATTATATAGAAAAATGCAAATTTCCAGGGCGGTTGGTCTGATATAAGAGGTCGCAAAAGTATTCTAAAAATGATGCTGTTAATAAGTGGCCTATGTTATGGTATTTTAGGAACCACAAGCTCTTTTACTGTGATAATAATTTTAAGAATAATCTTAGGTACGTCTTAAAAACCCTAAATTATTAGTGTTTAGAAATGCAGAATTGATATTTAGGAATGGTGAAACATATTCAAACCCTATGCAGAGCGATAATATCGGATATTTGCCCTCCGGACAAGCATATGGAAATTTTTGGAAAATCTGCTGCAATTTCTGGTATAGGTTTTATTGTAGGACCATTTTTGGGCGGACACATTTCAGAGGTTTCTAATGGGTTCAGTTACGTTAGCTTTTTGACCATGGTTTTATTTTTTATTAATATTGGTAAGGGATCAGACCATTGATTATTGGCCCTGGATAGTTTTATGAAAGCTTAATAGAATTGAAATATTTGGAGAAGGCGCAGGTGACACTGTAGAGATTTTAAAAATGACTGCACTCTTTTTGTTCCTACTCTATCTGCGTCTCTCTCTTACTCATTCGATTTAAATATTTCCTCGTTTCTTTCTTACTTTACTCAAGCGCCGCAAAACGTATCACAATTTTATTTATGATATAAGTGCTAAAAGTGACATTTTATTAAGTGAAAAGGGAAGTTTGGGACACGACGCCGAAGGCGGAGTGTTCCATCCCTTTGAACAAAATAAAATTACTTTTAGCACGAATATCATACACTATTTTTTCTACAAACACACTAAAAGTGATTACTTTTAGCACTAGTGCTAAAACTAATCACTTTTAACATCAGTGTCATAAAATGGCATTTTAGACACTGACAGCATTCGTTAAAAATGACACTTTTAGTGACGTTTGTAGAAAAATAACTATTTTCCTATTTTCTCTGTGTTTCTTTCTTATTCATCGAATTTATTATATTGTTGCCTCTATTCCTGGCATTTGATTGGCTATACAGGAAAATTCCAAACTAACTCAAGCGTGGGAATAGTCAAAATCCTTGTTACTATTTTGTTGATTCCTACTTTATCTGTGTCTCTCTTTTATTCATTTATTAAATTATATCGCTGTTTCTTGTTTTATTGTTCCAGGCTCTCCATTGGCCAAACACAAAAATTACAAAGCCACTCAAACGCCAAGAATAATCAAAATTCGTGTTATTATTTCTTTTTTTCAACTTACTTTATCAGTGTCTCTTTCTCATTCATGGAATTTATTATATTCTTGTCCTTATTCCTGGCTTTTGATTGGCTAGACGGAAAAATTTCTAGCCCACTTTGACTTAACGGCTAGAAATAAACAAAATTCAAATTACTATTTTCTTATTCCTACTACACAGATAAAGATTTGTGTATGTGTCTCTCTTTTACTAATTGAATATCGTATATCGCTGTCTCTTGTTTTATTGTTCCAGGCTCTCCATTGGCCAAATACAAAAATTACAATGCCACTCAAGCGCCATGAATACTCAAAATTCGTATTATTCTTTTTTTCATCCTACTTTATCAGTGTCTTTTTCTCATTCATCGAATTTATTGTATTATTGTCATTATTCCTAGCTTTTGATTAGCTAGAGAGAAAAATTCCAAGCCTACTCATCTGCTGGGAATAATCAAAATTCGTGTCACAATTTGTTTTTAATCCTACTTTATCTGTGTCTCTTTCTCCTCCATCAAATTTATTATATTTTTGTCTTTATTCCTGGCTTTTGATTGGCTAGACAGAAAAATTCCAAGCCCAATCAAGCGCTGGGAATAATCAAAATTCGTGACACAATTTTTTCTATCCTACATTATCTGTGTCTCTTTCTCATCCATCAAATTTATTATATTTTTGTCTTTATTCCTAGCTTTTGATTGACTTAACAGAAACACATAATTCTTGTTATTATTTTTGGATTCCTACTCTATCTGTGTCTCTCTCTTTATAATTGAATGTCTTATGTCGCTGTTTCTTGTTTTATTGTTCAAGAGTTCAAGGCTCTCCATTGATCAAACACAAAAATCACAATTTGACTCAAGTGCCAGTAATAATCCAAATTCGTGTCACAATTTTTGTTTTTAACTTCATTTGTCTCTTTCTCATTCATGGAATTTATTATATTCTTGTCTTTATTCCTGACTTTTGATTGGCTAGAATCTAGACAGAAAAATTCCTAGCCGCTTTCTTAAGCAGACGGAATAATCATATTCCATGTTATTATTTTTAAATTCCTACTCTATTATGTGTCTCTCTCTTACTAATGGATAATCAAAATTCGTATCACATTTTTTTTTTCCTACTTTATCTGTGTCTCTTTCTCATTCATGGAATTTTTTATATTCTAGTCTTTATTCCTGGCTTTTCCAATTCCAAGCCTACTTTCTTAAGCAGTCGGAATGATCATAATTCGTGTTATTATTTTTGAATTCCTACTCTATTATGTGTCTCTCTCTTACTGATTGAATGTCTTATATCGCTGTCTCTTATTTTATGGTTCAAGGCTCTCCATTGGCCAAATACAAAAATCACAAGTTGACTCAAGTGCCGGGAATAATCAAAATTCGTGCCACTATTTTTTTTTATCCTACTTTATCTGTGTCTCTCTCTTACTCATTGGATTTCTTATATGTTTTAAATTATTTTCCCTTCCTTATTGTTTCAGGCTCAGCAAGTCTGCATTATTCAAACACGAAAATTAAAAGACCACTCAAAAGCTGGGAAAAATAAAAATTGTGTTTTGTTTCTACTTTATCTGTGTCTCTCTCTAACCCATCGAATATCTTATATCACTGTCTCTTGTTTGATTTTTCCAACTCTCCATTGGCCAAACACAAAGATTACAAGGCCGCTCAAGCGCCGGGACTACCTAATCAAAATACGTGCCACTATTTTTTTATCTTACTACTTTATCTGTGTCTCTCTCTTACTAATTGGATTTCTTATATTGCCGCCTTTCTCTTAGTTTTTCGCTCCAGGCTTTTCATTGTTCAGACACGAAAATATAAAGACCACTCAAAATCTGGGAAAAACAAAAAATTAAAAAATCATGTCTCAATTTTCTTTTTTCCACTCTATCTTTTTCTCTTTCTTACTCATCGAGTATCTTATATCACTGTCTCTTGTATTATTGTTCCAGGCTCTCCATTAGCCAAACACAAAAGTTACAACGCCACTGAAGCGCCGGAAATATCCAAACAAAATTCGTACCTCTATTTTTCATTTTTCATACTCTACTTTATCTGCGTCTTTCTCTTACTCATTGGATTTCATATATTGCTGTCTCACCTCATTCAAGTTCTTCATTGTTCAGAGTGTTCAGACACGAAAATTTAAGACCACTCAAAAGCCGGGAAAAATAAAAATTCGAGTCTCGATTCTGTTTTTACTTTATCTGTGTCTCTCTCTTACCCATCAAATATCTTATATCACTGTCTCTTATCTTATTTTATTCCAGGCTCTCCATAAGCAAAACACAAAAATTACAAGGCCACTCAAGCTCCAGGAATACTCAATCAAAATTCGTGCCACTATTTTTTTCGTATCCTACTTTATCTGTGTTTCTCGCTTACCCATTGAATTTCATATAATGTTACTGTCTTTTTCTTACTTCATTTATTGTTTGAAACACTTTATTGTTCAGACACGAAAATTTAAAAATCACTCAAAAGCCGAGAAAAATAAAAATTCATGCCTCGATTCTGTTTCTACTTTATCTGTGTCTCTCTCTTACCCAGCAAATGTCTTATATCACTGTCTCTTGTTTGATTGTTCCAGGCTCTCCATTGGCCAAACACAAAAATTACAAGGCCGCTCAAACCCCAGGTATACTCAATCAAAATTCGTGCAGCTATTTTTTTCGTGTCCCACTTTATCTGTGTCTCTCTCTTACTCCTTGAATTTTATATTATGTTGCTGTCTTTTTCTCACCTCATTTATTGTTTGAAGCACTTCATTATGCAGACACGAAAATTAAAAGATCACTCAAAAGCCGGGAAAAATAAAAATTCATACCTCGATTTTGTTTTTACTTTATCTGTGTCTCTCTTTTACCCTGTAAATGTCTTATATCACTGTCTCTTGTTTGATTGTTCCAGGCTCTCCATTGGCCAAATACAAAAATTTCAAGGCCACTCAAGCCCCGGGAATACTCAATCAAAATTCGTGCCACTATTTTTTTCGTATCCTACTTTATCTGTGTTTCTCTCTTACTCATTGAATTTCATATTATGTTGCTGTCTTTTTCTCACTTCATTTATTGTTTGAAGCTCTTTATTGTTCAGACACGAAAATTAAAAGATCACTCAAAAGCCGAGAAAATTAAAAATTTGTGTCTCGATTCTGTTCTACTTTATCTGTGTCTCTCTCTTACCTAGCAAATACCTTATATCATTGTCTCTTGTTTGATTGTTCCAGGCTCTCCATTCGCCAAACACAAAAATTACAAGGCCGCTCAAGCCCCGGGAATACTCGATCAAAATTCGTGCCACTTTTTTTTTCGTATCCTACTTTATCTGTGTTTCTCTCTTACTCATTGAATTTCATATTATGTTGCTGTCTTTTTCTCACTTCATTTATTGTTTGCAACACTTCATTGTTCAGACACAAAAATTAAAAGATAATTTATTGTTTCAAGTTCTTCATTGTTCAGACACGAAAATTAAAAGACCACTCAAAAGACGAGAAAATAAAAATTCGTGTCTCGATTTTGTTTCTACTTTATCTGTGTCTCTCTCTTATACCCATCGAATATCTTATATCACTATCTCTTGTTTTATTGTTCCTGGCTCTCTATTGGCCAAACACAAAAATTACAGTGTTTCTCTCTTATTCATTGAATTTCATGTATTGCTATCTTTCTCGCCTCATTTATTGTTTGAAGTTCTTCATTGTTCAGATATGAAAATTTAAAGTTAAAAGATCACTCAAAAGCAGGGAAAAATAAAAATTCGCATCTCGATTTTGTTTCTACTTTATTTGTGTCTCTCTCTTACCCATCGAATATCTTATATTACTGCTTTTGTTTTATTGTTCCAGGCTCTTCATTGGCCAAACACAAAAATTACAAGGCCACTTGATATTCTTTTTTTTTGGTTGATTTTTTTGTATCCTATTTCATCTGTCTCTCTCTTACTCATTGAATTCCGTATATTGCTGCCTTTTCCCTACTTCATTGTTATTCAGACAAGAAAATCACAAGACCACAAAGTTTGAACAGCCGGGAAAAGCAAAAATTCGTGTCTCAATTTTTTTTTTAGTTGTGTTTCTGTCTTACTCATTGAATCTCTTATTTGGCTGTGTCTCACTTCATTATTTCCAGCTCTAAGTGTCACATTCAAAACGACGAATATCCGAGTGTGTTAACATGTGTATCTTCGAATCGCCTTTTTGTTCAAATTTCACTTTGCAAGTGTCACATTCAAGAGGATGAATATCTGAATGTATTAACATGTGCATTTTCCAATTGCCTTTTTGTTTAAATTTCACTTTGCAAATGTCACATTCAAAAGGATAAATATCCGAGTGTGTTAACATGTGCCTCTTCAAATCGCCTTTTCGTTTAAATTTTACTTTGCAAGTGTCACATTCAAGAGGATGAATATCTGAATGTATTAACATGTGCATTTTCCAATTGCCTTTCTGTTTAAATTTCATTTTGCAAATGTCACATTCAAAAGGATAAATATCCGAGTGTGTTAACATGTGCCTCTTCAAATCGCCTTTTCGTTTAAATTTTACTTTGCAAGTGTCACATTCAAGAGGCTGAATATCCGAAGGTGTTGACATGTGCATTTTCCAATTGCCTTTTAAATTTTGCTTTGCAAGTGTCACATTCAAAAGGACAAATATCCGAGTGTGTTAACTAGTCAGAGCGAAGTTCAATTGGCAACAGTCAGAAAACTAGTTTCAACCCTTTCAACGTTTTAACCAATGAAATTTACTCTGACACTCTGACTGGTTTCAGATCTCTGTGCGAATAGACCTTATGACCGAAATTCAAGCGCTGTGAATAATCAAAATTTGTTGTAAATTCATTTGTACATTAACTTAAATATTTCTAGTACTCGTAAAGCTATCCAGAGGTTCCTCTTTAATAATACATAGATCAAATAATTCACTCATTGAATCATTATCACGCCACGCCTCATAAAAATTGTATAGGTAAATTATTTTCAGGGGTTGCCTCGCTTTTACCAGACTCAAAACCGAAAACTAGGACTACTCCAATCGTAAATAGTACAGGGATTATAAATACAATTAAACTAGAAACCTCAAAAACTCTCAACGGGTTGAAATCGATAGACTGGACTAAACAATGGGAACCATTTGCTTTACGATTTCTATTTAGCTTGGCAATGACTGCTTTCCTGACGAACCAAGGACTATTGCTCAAAGAAAAATACCAACTAAGTCAAAAATATTCAGGTTACGTTATATCGTACTTTAGTACCGTTGGGACTTTTTCCGCCTATTTTCTGGACAGTATAAGTAGATTATTCAAAAACAACGACTGCATATCTAAATTATTAGGCTACTACATTGTCATAATACTAAGCGTAGTTTCCATATACTTAACACCAAATTTGCTTATACACATGAGTATATTAATGCCAATTTCAATATCTTCAACCGCTTTGAGGATTCTAACTATGGAATTAATAATGCAAGAATCCAATGGCGACCATAACGGCTCCTTGAGTGGAGCTTGTTATAGTGTTACGTCAATATCCAGGTTTGTTACGCCACTTTTATCGGGATTTTTGGGGGATATTTTCGGGGTTGAAGCTGTGATTTTGATTGCCGCAATTCCTGCCTTGGCCGGCGTTTTACTGTGTTTACATATGAAAGTCAGTCGGTGTGTGGATGTTAAAGAAGAATAGTTTTATGTGATATTTGTTGAATTTTAATAAAATGTTTTATGTTTGTTATTGAAAAATATCTTGTTTTGTTATTGAGGTTAGAAGAAATTGAAAAAACATCAGGGAAGAATAATAGATGAGAGAAGAGGAAGAAGAAGCAGTAGTAAATGAGGCAAAGGCATCTTGGAGATGGTAAGGCAAGAGAGAAAACAAAGATATTGAGAAATCGAATACCTAATAATGGATAGCTTTGTATATGCCTCTTAAGAAATATCTATTTCCATAATAATGTTTAAGTCAGATTAAAAAACTATTATGTATGCCGAAACGAAAAATTCCCACCGGTTAAATTTACAACTCGCGATTCGTATAAGCAGATATTGGAAAAAGCTTAGACAAGACACAAATCTTTTTGGAATAGATTAGAGGCGCAAACATATCCTCGCTGCGAAGCGCTAACAGTTGTTAGCACACACATGCACAGATAGCCATTACAGATACATATTTGATTTTCGTATAAATTAAGCGAAAATGGCGGTTCCGTATAAATCACGCGCGCACAACATTTACCTGAATTAAGTGTGTAATTAAAAGGATTTTTGTTTGTTTTGGTGAATATTAAATTAGGCGAAAATTTCACGCTTTTGATGCTTGAATTAACTTGAATTAGATTTGGCAACGATGCACCGTGATAATTTAGTCAAAACTAAAAATTATTTTTGTAGGTAACTATTGGTATATCGAGATCTAAGGTTGGCGCAGTCGGTAGGATTCGTCAAGGTCAACAGAAAAGAAAAATCAACTACTTGATTCTCTGGTAAACATTCCCAGAGCCAATCAAGAGTCGTTAATACTCAAAATTTGAATTTTGATCAACTCTAGATTTGCTAGAGAAGTTTTCTAAGGGCATTCAAAGCTCGAAAGCCGATAATGATCAAAATTTCGAATGATCATTAGTAGCTCTTAAGTTGATATTAATCACAATTTATTCGTACGGTTTAAGGGTACTTATGGTCCTTATAAGTTGAACATATGAAAGAATTTGCTTCGTTGGCAATACCAATTATTAGCCCACACCACACTGTACTAATTTGACTCGTATAGTTTCATTTTTTATTGATTTCATTGCTGCCAACATTGAGACTAACTTAATATATAGGTAATTTTTGAAAACATCGGTTGGTCCTTTTTGGTACAGATTATTTATTCGTGATCAACACGTACCGCAACACATAATTTAAGGGTACAACGCGATAACCGATCTAAAGCAATTTAAGGATGGGAAAGTCAAACAGTAATAATTGTTTATTTACTTATAAAATATATGCGGATATGCTTATTCCAAAATCATGATATCCTCTGGCACTGAAATAGGGAAAAGAAATCCATCCTTTCCAATATAATATTATTATTATAATTTTTTTCTTAAATAAAATAACCTAATTGCTGTCGAACATATTGTTTGGTTCCGTAGTAAAATCTATAATAATACTAATAACGATATTAAAATAACAAATCCGGACGTCGAAAAAGTGATGGGAAATTTACCTTTGGGATACGAAACGATTGTTGACTCTTTTTCCTACAATTGCCGGAAATTGAACGCTTTGTGGTTGCTCGTGTCGAAAAAACAAAGAGAAAAAAACACCTTTTCGCCACGAAAGAAGTTTATAATTTAATTCTAACCCGGGGTGTGCAATTTGTGTTTAGATACGGACGGTAAACTGACGGGTAATTTGCTTAAAAAGAAACTCACTTGTCAATCCTCGCGCGCTTGGCGGTACTTAATTTTCTTCTAAACGTTTTCTTTTACGTAATAATTCGTTGATTGTGTTGTTGATGGAGAAGGACGTTTAAAAAAATTCTATGTGACGAATTTCAAAGAAAATCTTATATTTAGTTATAGTAAAACACATAACCGCTAATCAATCCCATGAATATGGTTTTTGTACGCTCCAGGAGACTGGTTCTCTGGATGATATTTTCTGTTTGATTCTGATGGTTTAGGATAGAAAAGCAGAAGGGCCTTAGTACCAGACAGGACTTAAAATGACGGCACTTGCACTTGCACTACAACCAGACTAAAGCACTTGTAAGTTGGAAAGAAGACCCCAGCCAGACAAAGCACTTGCTATAAGGGTTAAAAAACCTGTAACCTTTGTCAATGGATTTTTTTTTTTAGGACAATAAAGCATATTTTGATTTGATATGAAACCTCCTTTTGAACGAAGTTGTATTTCTTGGAGGGTCTTAAATATCCAGCTAAAATGTTGTTGTTGCTCTTTTAGATGATGGTCCAATATTTCACAGTGCGTTTCTTCCGATAGTTGTCCTGTCTTGTTACACAGCATCTCAGAATTGGTAACGACGCTGGTTACATTCTGGATGTATTCCTTGATTTTTGTTCTGTTGTAAGTGACTTCCATTCTAAATGTTCTTCTATTTATGTGTGCCGTTCCAAAATGTTCTATGTAAATATACCTCCTTCGCGATATTTGATAACATAGCTGCTTTGACACTTTGGGAGAAGTATCAAACTGAACCATACATAAATAGTTGAATGATTTGAAAATGAAATACTTTTGATTTCTCGGTTTTCATATGCTTCTTCACAGTGCATTCTCTTTCGACATTGTGACTGTTTGAGGTTATGGCCATGTAACAAAACGGCCTGAAAATCCTTTTTTTTTTGCTTTTCTTCTTTTTTGCCCAGCGAGATTAAGTCGCTAAATTTCTGACGAAACCCTGTCAAGAGCCAAGGGTTATCAGTCGGTTTTCGGGAGAGTGTGATCACTGTGTCTTTAAACACGACTCCCGACGACCCTGGTTCCATGAACAAAAGCGTCATCAAGCTGCCAATATAAATAAGCCTGTTAGCTTCCTAGATTTATTAAGTTCTGTAACGAAGTTCTGGTGTTTAGTGTAGACGTCTTCCTGCTGAGTATCTTTCTGAGACCTTAGGTAATGTTTCAATTTCAAGTATTTTAATTTATTCGTCATGATTGTTGTTTTCTGTCTATTTTTTTTCTCCCCTGTGTAAAGAACAAAACCGTTGGGCTAGCTTCACAACTCGAATCTCTTTTTCAACATGTATCTTACCCTGAATAACAAGGCCGTTTTGTCATTCCCTTGTCGAGGACGCCCGTGACTTTTACCCACTAAGAATTGTCTTTATTTTTTGTATCTTTTAATCTTCGATTTCTCATGTAAGTTGTACCATCAAGGAACGCCCTATGCAGGACCCTCATTAATTTCATTCTCTATCATTCCAAAGCTCTGTATGTAATTTCTTTCACTTCATTTCAGTATAACTTGTTAATAACTTACTGTATATTACTTGCTTTTATTTCATTTCTTTACCAAGATTTACCATTTGTTCAATAAACCATTGTTAGAATTTAGAAAGAGAAACTGATTCTTTTATTTTTTTTGGAAAACCCCGAGCTAGCATTCCAACTAACTGCGTACAGCTCAGGTAGCAAGAACCCGCACTAGAAGAGACAATCTGTTATTTATATACTCACAAATGCAGAGTTTGGATAATTACTTAATTGAAAATCTATATTTTATGACAATCATAATGACATAATGTCCTCAATAGACACGACACTTACAATAATCATCCCAGCAAAACCTTAATAAATACCCCTACTTCAATTACTGGTTACGATTCTATGCAAAATGGAACAGGTAAACAGACACAACAGTTTCCCCCCTTTCTTATAAAACATATTACAAATATAAATAACAACGAAAGCACAAACGCATATCAATCTACCGTGACATCTCCGCATAGTTGTAATAATAAAATTTAATTGAAAACTGATTTACTTGGCCGTATAATGATCCACACCTAATTTCCAGAAATGTTTCCTCGACACGGTGTATACTCACCTATTTTGGTAATTTGATCTATATGACGTTTCCAAATTTTATTATTGTCTAACTTAATGAGATAATGAAGTTTGCCGATTCTTGCATCTACTCTACCAAATTTCCACTTGTTATTGGAATTATTATATTCACGTACAGCCACTCTCTCACCCTTCACAAATTCTCGAGTCCCAGTCTTCTTCAAGCATTCAAAAGTGTCAGTTGAGTTAGGTGCTATCAAATCTAATTTAGTTCGAATATTCCTGCCCAAAAACAATTCAGCCGGACTTAAACCGGTGATGGAATGAGGAATTTTAAATACGTAATATTCAAGCAAAGCTCAATATTAAACCAGATGCAAAATTGATGTTTTTAAAAGCACGAAAAGTACCGTACCCTCTTATTCCTAAAATTGATAAAGAGCTGGTATTTTTGGAAGAACAAGGGATTTTAATTAAAATTAATAGTTCAGAGTTTGCTACTCCATTAGTGTCCGTTGTTAAGGCAAATGGTAGGGTAAGATTGTGTGGCGATTTCCGTAGTACTGTTAATCAATGCTCAATTGTTGATCATCATCCTCTTCCTACCATTGATGAACTATTTTCATCCATGGCAGGAGGAGATAAATTTACAAAACTTGATCTAAGTCAAGCATATTTACAAATGGAGGTTGCACCGGAAGATCAAAAATATTTAGTTTTAAATACTCACAAATGCAGAGTTTGGATAATTACTTTAATTGAAAATCTATATTTTATGACAATCATAATGACATAATGTCCTCAATAGACACTTACAATAATCATCCCAGCAAAACCTTAATAAATAATACCCGTACTTCAATTACTGGTTACGATTCTATGCAAAATGGAACAGGTAAACAGACACAACACAATCTAATCAATTACTAAAAAGTATCCGTTGAAAATTACCTAGATTTTCAGTGGGACTTTAAACAAAGTCCTTGGTGGCACTCTACCGCAGTACAAAAAAGGCCTTTACCAGTGCAAAAGCACAATCTCCCTTACCCAACCGTCGCAACCAGGTGGCGGTGGTAACAGCTGAGTGGGATTGGTCAGTGTTTATTTTCCTATTTCTTCTAATGGAAGTAGCGGGATCAATGTATGTATCGGTCGTTTTAATGTAGCTCTCTCTGCTTTCTTGAATGTGAGTACTCTTACTACGCCGTCTCTTCCAGGATGAACA